GACAGGCGGTCCAGACCCACAATCTGCTCGAACAGATCAAGCAGGAAAATAAACAATTGGAAACAGCTGTGGAAAACCTGCAGAAGAAAAAGCTACCGTCCCCTGTTGCTCGACAGACTTCGAGTGCTTTTACCGTACCTGAAGGGTGGGGGCAGAAATGGAAACTGATTGGTTAGCTAAATGAAAAGATGGAACATGGGACAACTGGAATGGAGGCTGCACTGGGGACGTGTGGAATGATGACCCAGGTAGATCCTCCTCTCTTGACCCGTGGGCAGGGGCCACCACCCTGCAATCGCCACCTTATGCTGAGAACCAGGTTCTGGATAAACCCTCCCCCAAACCTAGATCAATTCCAGTTAAACCAGGAGAAATGGGAGGGACAGCCCTGTCCCGGAACCTGACCCTGATACCCCGCCTGCACCCCACTTTACCCTTGACGCTACCCCACAAACGGGTGCTCCACCTCCACTGCGGTTCTGGAACGCAGTGGAAACTGCAACGAAAAAATGTCCTGACCCTTTCAGAGAGCCAGGGCCCCGTGGGAATTATGCAGAGAGGGAAATGGAGGCACCCACGTGCGGTACAGATACACCTCGCCCACCTCGAGCAAGCGGCTTCGCGGCCTGGCTCGATGCTTTCAAAATGAATGAACTAACTGCATTAGCTGCGCGGCCGGTCGGCCCCCTGCCTGCTGAGAATTTCACTGAGTTCATGGCCTGGCTACAGAAATGCTCGCAGGTGTGAAAAGCGGTGGGAATCGACCTGTCACAGGAACCAATTCTGGTACAAACCCTGTGGGGACCACTGAACTGTCACCCCCTTGGTTTTGAGGACGATGTGACGCAAGCGGTTTAACGGGCAGCTCAAAAGCATTTTACGCTCTCCAGTGGATTAGCTGCACTGAAAGGAATGCCAGGAATACCGGGAGAGGCTCCGGCCGCGCTGGCGGACAGGATATAAACGTGTGCTAGGCTAACCGCGGGGGATACTGAGCTCGAGGATTTGAAGCAACTTGTTTTGGAAGTGCTGCCTTCTGGGGTGCTCGAACGGAGGAACGCTTGGTGTGAGAACGGAGCCAGGGACGGACCTTGGAACGAATGGATTGAAAAAGTGCACACTGTTAAACAGCAGGAAGGAACTCCTGTCAGTGAGCTGCCAACAGTTAGGACAGTGGAAAACAGAGGGTCCTGGAGACTCTCCCCGTGGCCATGGCGATGTGGTGGAATGAACAGAGGGTAGAGGAGTGAATAGAGAGCGTGAACGGGTGTCGCCTGGAGCTCTGAAACAGGAGAACGAAGACCTTTAAGAAGAGAGTGAGAAGCTGTGGGCGTAGCTACAGGTATGTCGGATTGGCCAGGAGTCTCAAAAGGCAGTGATGAAGGTGGCAAAGGCGACTGTCTTGGCGTCTGGATTGACTGATCCGATTGTTAGTAATTCAGTAGCATAGGCCAGCCCTCCCGGCAACGCGGAATGCGTTTTCCAGCAACCCATGACAATAGATGTCTGGGAACGCCCCCACTTACGCATCCGAGTCGGGGATGGGTTTGCAGATTTTCTGTTGGACACGGGGGTTGGAATTCCTATAGTAAAAGATGCATTTAATGTATATCCAGTCGTGGACACCGTACAAATACACAGCATATCAGGAACTCAGCAAACATAGGATGGTAAAACCCTCCCTCTCCAGTTTGGGGTACATACCATTCAGGAGAAGTGGGCTATGGCAGGGAGAGAAAATCTAATTGGGGCAGAAACTATCAGACGATTGGGAATAATCCTGGACTTCCCAAATATGTGTATCAGACAAGCTCTCACTGTAACGGGAGAAACAAACGACGCTGACCCGATCCCAGTGGGACTTGCTACTCAGACGGTGAAGCCCAAATAGCCACCTCGTGCGCAGGACGGCTGGGACGGCTGGTGGGCTGAGATTCAGAATGTCTGGGCAGTGGACTCCCCAGATACCGGAAAAATACAAACCTCCGTTACAATAGAGGGAGACACACCCCCATATATCAAACAATGCCCAATACCTCAGGAAGCAAAAGAATCTTTAAGGCAGGTTATAGAAGAATTGGAAAAACGAAAATTAATTCCAAGGTGTTCAGCGTCTAACGTGGCACCGATCTGGCCAGTCAAAAAACCTGCTGGAACATGGAGATTAACTCTTGACTATCGGGGGTTAAACAGAACTGCCAAGCGGGGGGCACCAGCATTGCTGGAGGTGGTAACCCCTGACATGAAGTGGTTCTCAGTACTCCACGTGGCAAACGGCTTTTGGAGTTTACCTTTAAACCCAGAGTCTCAATACAGAACCTCTGTTGTATTTCAGGGTACACAATACGGCTGGAATGTTCTGCCTATGGGGTACTGTGACGCACCCACAATATTTCCTGCTGTAGTGAGAAATATGCTAGAGAAGGAGGGGCTGTTACAAACGGGAAGGATAGTCCAGTATGTAGATGACATTTTAATAGTCAGTGAAACAGAACAGGAAGATGAAGCGTTAACGCGGCAGTTACTGACTAGCTGCCAAGCGTACGGCTTGAAACTTAACCCCTCTAAATCCCAGATGAAACAGAGAGACGTGCAATATCTTGGAATTCAACTCAGTGCAGGGGGAAGGTCTGTGGCTAAGGAAAGGGTGACGTGTATTGTTAACCTCCCTATGCCGGAGGATACTAAATCTTTGCAAACTTTTTTGGGGCTCACTGACTTCTGCAGAGAATTCATGGTTGGGTACGCAGAGAAGGCAGGTCCCCTGTACGAGATACTTAAAAGGCTACAGTGGACCTGGACCAAGAAGGCAACTAAGGCATAGGAAAGACTGAAAAAAGGGTTAATGGAGGCACCTACCTTGGCCACCCCTAACAACGAATTCCCAGGGCTGGTGCAAGGAAGTTTCGCGCCCTAGGCGAAACTTCCACCTTGCACTCCCCCCCACCAGCTAACTCCGCCCCCCCGCGGCAGCTAACCCAGCCCCCCCATCTGGGGAGCCTGCCACCCCCCCGCCTGGAGACACACACCCCCCCGCAGCAGCTACCCCCCCTGCAGCTAACCCGCCTGGGGAGCCCGCCCCGGCTCACCTCGGCTCCGCCTCCTCCGCTGAGCACGCCGGCGCCGCTCAAATTCTCCTGCCCTCCCAGGCTTGCGGTGATTGGAGGAGAATTAAAGCGGGGGCTGTGTGCTCAGCGGAGGAGGCAGAGTGGAGGTGATCTGGAGCAGGGAGCGGTTCCCCTGTGCGCCCCCCCCCCGTTACTGCAGGCGGCCCTCCCCGCGCCCCCCACCCCACCCCAGCTCACCTCCACTCCACCTCCTCCTTTTAGGCGCCCCCAACCACTAGGCGCCCTAGGCGGCCGCCTAGTTTGTCTAAATGGTTGCACCGGCCCTACGAATTCCCCTTTGTGTTGTACCCTAGTGTGAAGAATTTCTGTATTGTTCGTGTGCTTACACAGGATACTGGTGCAGGGGAGAGACCCGTTCCTTATTATAGCAGAGCGTTGACAGGTCCAGAAAGCAAACTGGGAAGTTGTGAGCAAACCGCTCTCGCCGCCTACTGGACACTACGAAAAGCTCAGGCAATTATCGGAGCAAGCGAGGTGATTGTTAAGAGTCACCGTGCGCTGGGAAGGGAAAACCTGTCTAAAGGCCGTGCGAGAATAGATAAGGCCATTCAATGGGTCTTTGCTCTCATGTCCAAGAATGTTCAATTAGTCCCACTAAAAGGACCTGAAATATCTGGATGGGGTTTGACTGTAAGCGGTCGGGAACATGTTTGTGAAACCCAATGGGAATACAAAGCGCACCCTGTCTTTAAAGCAACCCCAGTTGAACAGGTGATGGGAAAAACCATTTGGTTTGTGGACGGCAGCTCACGTTACACCGAAGGAAAACGAGTCACTGGCTTGGCAGAGATTTGTTTAACTGGAAACCTGCAGAGAGTTAACACCTTCCAGTACAAACTGATCAAAGGAGGAACGCAGTTTGCAGAAGTGGCAGCGGTCTTAGAAGTTTTAGCAGGATGAGGAACAAGCAAACGGAGCTAATAATAGGAACTGATTCAGATTATGTTTACAAGGGAACCACCCTCTACCTACCGTGGTGGAATAGTGTAGATTTGACAGGAACCGACGGATCCGAAATTAAGCACAAACTTCTGTGGCAGCAAACGGAGAAATTGGCAAAGCAATATAAAAGGGTCCGGATGGTTAAAATAAAGGCCCATAGGGGAAAGAGTCCATTACAGTGGGGAAACGAGCAAGCAGATAAATTGGCTAAGGAAGCAGCCATCATAGAATCATAGAATATCAGAGTTGGAAGGCACCTCGGGAGGTCATCTAGTCCAACCCCCTGCTCAAAGCAGGACCAATTCCCAGCTAAATCATCCCAGCCAGGGCTTTGTCAAGCCGGGCTTTAAAAACCTCCAAGGAAGGAGACTGCACCACCTCCCTAGGTAACGCATTCCAGTGTTTCACCACCCTCCTAGTGAACTGGAACACTGTGGGAGCCCACCCCCGTGGCATAACCACAGGCAAAACAAAAACAAGGAAGTGAAGAGACCGACCAGAAAGAGTGTGATGTTATTGACATAACCCGCAACCACTGTTATATATTTGCAGCAATTAGTGTACAAAGGTTGTCGTGTGACGTGTCTATGGAAAGACTGTGATTTGCTAATTATGATTATGCTGTCTGTATGTGTGCATCATTTTTGTAGTTGAAGTTATGAATATTCGCTAGGTACTTGTATAGCAATGTGTTTTAATCTGAAGTACCCTAAGGCAGTGTTTCCCAAACCTGGGACGCCGCTTGTGTAGGGAAAGCCCCTGGAGGGCCGAGCCGGTTTGTTTACCTGCCGCGTCCGCAGGTTCGGCCGATCACAGCTCCCAGTGGCCGCGGTTCGCTGCTCCAGGCCAATGGGAGCTGCAGGAAGTGGCGAGGGCCGAGGGACGTACTGGGAAGGGGAGAGGAGTGAGGACGCAGCGCGCTCAGGGGTGGGAAGAGGTGGGGCAGGAGTGGGGAGGGGCGGGGCAGGGGTGCGGTCTTGAGGATAGGGGTGGACTGGGGATGGGGGTGAGGCCTGGGACAGAGCCAGGGGTCAAGCACCCCCCAGCACAATGGAAAGTGGGCGCTTGTGGACCCCCGCTGGGATCTGGCCCCATCAAGCGATGGCTTCTCTTTGTGTTTAAGGTCCTGGCCGTGCAGAGGGGTCCCCGGCTGGTCGGATTTAGGCGGAGCTCAGTGGGAACCTGCTTGGGGAGAGTCCAACTGGCTGTAAATATCCTGGGTCCGTCCTTGGAGTTCCTGTAGATCAAACAGAGAGCCAGTGAGATCCCTGCTCAACGGCCCCAGGGCCAGTGGGGTGGGTGCTGCCAGGACCGGGACACTCTGTGGCTGGGGGAATCTCCCCTGAGCCGGTAGCAGGACGGGGTCTGAGACACACACTCGGGCAGCGGCGGTTCCACCCAGCAGGGGGCAGCGATTTGCAGTGCGGGGGGTGGGGAGGCTGCAGCCGCACACACATCCCAGCCAGCAGGGGGCAGCAGGGCCCGCGGGGGGAGGGTAACAGACCTTGCGCTCACCTCATAGGGTGACTCTGTTTTCGGCCTGCGGGAAAGCTCGGCACCTCGGGAGAAAGGGAAAATAGTTTCTGTTGTTAGATCTGGGTCCCCAAAATCACCAGCCCCCTGAATCCCCCAAGTGTCTCCCACCAGCCCCCCTAAACCACTGGCCTCCCTATCCCCTGACTGCCCCCAAATGTCTCCGACGAGCCCCCCAAACCACCAGCCCACTGACTACACCCTAGTGTCTCCCACCAGCCACCCCAAATCACCAGCCCTGGATCCCCCCAAGTGTCTCTCACAAACCACTGGCCTCCCACCCCCTGTAGCCTTTGTTTTTATTTGAAGTGAATGCCAGTGATGTGACACTACAGCAGTGAGGGGCCGGTGCTGGCGGCTACTGTCTCCACTCAGCAGAGTCACCTCGGCCTGGTTTAGATCCAGCGTCACCGGGACACGGGGAGGCCAAGGCCAGTAACACAGACAGTGGCAGGAACAAGGTCCCTGTCTCTGCTCAACGGTACTAAAGTCACCAGCTGAGTGATGATTGTCACCGCGTGTCCGACTCCTAGAGCGATCCATGCACCAGCGATAGCTACACACGGACTCGCAGCCTCCCAGACGGTGCGAGGAGCGGCTCCCGTGGATTGATCGTCAGTAGCAGGATGGGTCCCGCTGGAATTTTCTCATAGGAAACTCAATTACCCCGGTCTGGGCCCCCCCTTTTTATAATTGGAGTCTGCCTATAGCGACCTTCTATGCATGGACCTGAAAGTTTCACCCCATTTTCCCCATGACACTTAAGGCCTCCCCGATTTCTATAGGTGGGGCCCTACCAAATTCATGGTCATGAAAAATGCATCACGGACATTGAAATCTGGTCTCCCCCCGTGAAATCTGGTCTTTTGTGTGTGTTTACCCTGTAGGAGACAGATTTCGTGGGGGAGACCAGCATTTCTCCAAGTGGGGGTCCTGACCCAAAAGGGAGTTGCAGGGGGGGTTGAAGGTTATTTTAGGGGGGTCGCGGTATTGCCACCCTTACTTCTGCGCTGCCTTCAGAGCTGGGCGGCCGGTGAGTGGTGGCTGCTGACTGCGGGCCCAGCTTGCCGGCAGCAGTGCAGACGTAAGGGTGGCAGTACCACAACCAACCCTACAATAACCTGGCAACCCCCCCCCTCCCCCAACTCCTCTTTGGGTCAGGATCCTACAGTTACAACACCGCCAAATGTCAGATTTAAATAGCGGGATTGATTTAGTTGGTGTTGGTCCTGCTTTGAGCAGGGGGTTGGACTAGATACCTCCTGAGGTCCCTTCCAGCCCTGAGATTCTGAGATTCTATGAAATCCTGAAATTTACTGTTTTTACAATCCTATGACCAGGAAATTGACCAAAACGGCCTGTGAATTTGGCAGGGCCCTCGCTATACGTCGTGTAGATTCTCTTTGTTCCCATTAACACAGACACGCGTTGGAGCCAGATGTGCCACCACAGCATGTTTGTGATTTAAAATTAATCTTCGGGCTGATTGTTTGTAACGTTGCCCCTTGGGGCCTCTTTCCCCAGCATCTCAGGGCAGCGGGTTTTTCTTCGCTCACGGACGTCTGTCAGCGTTTCTTCGCTCCAAGGCCCAAAATAGGGAAGCTAAAATCTCGCAGGTCTCGGCCTACAGGCCTTGCGTTTGAGCCGTCCTGCCGTAGCTCTCTAACACAGCGCTTCTCAGACTGTGGGTCGGGACCCGATTTTAATGGGGTCGCCAGGGCCAGCGTTAGACTTGCTGGGACTCAGGGCTGAAGCTGAAACCCCGGCTCCAGCCCCACCTGGAACTGCAAGGCTCAGACCGGGGGGCGGGGGGCTCGGGCTCTGCCCCCTCCCGGGGTCGCAGTAACTCTGTGGTCAGAAGGGGGTCACGGTGCAATGGAGTCTGAGAACCGCTGCTCTAATACATGGTTATTCCCGCGAAATACCGATCAGTCTTAGACCTCTATAGCCCTACAGCGCCCCTCTACTGACAGTGATTGTATGTTAATGAATCGTAACATTACACAATCAATGAATAATAAATTAAAATCATTGGCTACACCCCTGCATTCCCCCAAGTGTCTCCCCCCAACCATCCCAGACCACCATCCCCCCACCATATTTCTGTCTCCCACCAGCCCCCCACAAATCACCCCACGTGTCTCAACATCCCCCCCAGCCCTGTGTTCCCCCAAGTATTTTCTACCAGCCCCCCAAACCATCAGCCTCTGCCCCCCTGAATCACCCAGAGTCTCCCCCTGAACCACTGGTCCCAACTCCCCAAATTCTCCCCCCATCCCCCCCATCTTCCCATGTGTCTTCCACCAGCCCCCCAAATCACCCACCCCCTGCACCAGCCCCGTCTCTGTTCCCACCCACCCAGCCCAGCGCTTACCCTCCGCAGCCCCCTCGGCTCCCGCCTGCCGCCGGCCTCTCCTGAGCAGGTAACAAGCCCCCACATTAACGAGGATGACAAGGAGCAGAATGGCAACCACAACGCCGGCCATGAGGCCAGGGCTTAGACACTGGCACGGGCCAGAGCCTGAGGGAAGACAGGGGCTGGTGTCACCGGTGAGTAGGGTTACCATACGTCCTCTTTTTCCCGGACATGTCCGGCTTTTAGGCAGTCAAACCCCCGTCCGGGGGGAATTGCCAAAAAAGC